GTTATTTGGGTCGACCCGAGAATTACGTTCGACATGGCCAGTCGGTCAGTTCGACTACGGACAGACTCCGATTCAAACGTCGAACTTTTCATGTACCGAACCTAATGCATACATTACAAATACAGTAAATAAATTAATTTTTACCCAGAGTTCTGCATGTTTCCCATTTTTGTCATGCGTACACAGCTTGTTTTGAACTTTTGGAACAAAACGGCGGAAAGAGCGGGAAGATATGTGTTCCTCTTGTTCGAAAGCGCGAAATATACTAGCTTGATGTGCATAAACCACTTCTGTATGCGGTGTTCCATATTTGAAAGAGATAAGAGTGTAGCGGGTTGGAAAGCACTGAGGCAGTTTGGTGGCGTACTACGAGTCATGTTTTTGAGAGAAAATGACAAAATAAATGAATCTTGAAGAAACCGACGACAGGAACGAACTGGACGAGCCTCGTCACAGTTGAACTGTGATGTTTCTTTGGGAATAAGCAATAATAGAAGGCAAAACAAATTCAAAAACCATCTTCGGTTGTTAAAGGCTAACTGAATCTTGAGTCGCCTTCTTCGACTTGTTCTACTCTCCTTGATCGCACTTGCAAGAAAAGCAAGCTCCTCATTTCCACGATTCGTCTTTCCCACATTTTTTCCGCCATTTTGGTCAGCAATAACCGCCGTTTGTATTAGTGTCTCTTTTGTTTTTGCAATTAAGTTCGACTAAATTAGGTTCGACGTTTGAATCAACAGCCGAACTTAATTACTTGGGTCGACCCAAATTGGTATTAGGTTCGGCGCATGTAATGTTCGACGTTTGAACCGGGCCTTATATGTAACTTTCATAACTTCTCTTTGTTGTATAGTCCATGTCTTTTTCCTAAGGATTATGCGAATTTCGCGTCAATTACTTTCAACATGTGTGAAAACACAGAATTTGCAAAACTATAAGTGATTTGAACCATACTCCCCAAGTACACCTTTACTGAAAACTTTTAAAAAGTGCACGCACACTTTAGGTGCAATCGAAAATTTAAACCTGTCAGTCGGTATACATACTTGAACGCACGCATGCAATCCAGATTCAATTTGGGACTTCCACGAGATCTAGGATAGCAATATGAGGTTGATGCCTCTAGCTCTGGCAAGCATGCACTGTATATCGAAAGACGGAATAGAAGTAGCGTTGAATTTTAGGGTTTGCTCGATGTGAAACTTGTCATGACTATATAGATAAAATTTAGCTTCTTTTGAAGCCTATCGAGTGGTGACCAACTCTCTCTCCTTCATTCTCTTCTCCCTCAAGCTCACTCTTGTTTTATTTTTATTCACTCTTGGACAGAGAATCTTGCCCTTGGTAAGCCTGCAGCTCAGTCCTCCTTATTTGGTAGTGGACTCAGAGAAGGTGCTGCGCGTAAAGCAGTGGACGGGAATGCTGATCCTAATTATGACAATGGACACTGTTCACATACTAATTCAGACAATCCCAGTTGGTGGCGAGTGGACCTCGGTTCAAATGACGTGCCAGTGTCCGAGGTGTTTATCGTTAACAGGTTTACGTCAGACCCCAATTTACAGCTAAGGAGTAAAGATTATAAGATAACACTGGGTAAGTCATTTCAACTGCAGTAAACTGTTTTACCTTCGCATTACTAGCAAAGTGAATGGTGCCTTCACTAAAACTAACAGCAGAAAAAGCAATCCATGCTTTTTTTCCAAGGAAACTGACATTTATCAATACTAAGATATACCTTTTTCATTTATGACTAAAAAAAATACTTATTGTGATTGGCTGAGGGTAGACAACATTATTTTATCTTCAATTTGCAATGTTATGCAAATAAATGCGCCGCATTAGTAAGGTTTCTTTTATTATTATTATAGCAATCTACTACTTATCTCTCAAGATTATAGCGGTCTGGTTAGTTACGTTGTTCGCTGTCTATACTTTGACAGCTCGGAAAACTGTTTATCTTTTGCAGCGTTAGTTGGTTTCAAAGGGACTATCTTTATCCAGTCTCGCTTATAAATAAAATTCAGATTTATACGGGAAATATGAAAAGCCATGTTGAACACTACTACAGTCATTCAAATATAAAGGGTCAATATTGAGTAAGCAAAAACCTGTTTGGCGCGGATAACATTTTCCCGCCCAATCTGAACTACTTAGTTACATTTTACAACCTTTGTTATTCACAGCTGCAAACATATCAATCGAAAACAAATAATTATTGTTTGATATTTTTCCGCGTTAGTTGACACTACAGACTTCAACAATGCCCAAGACTTCATACAAAGCTTAATTAATTGTCATAAAACTTTTGGAAGCCAGTCCAATGTAATAGCGTCTTAAAATGCAGGTAACAACCCAAATGTGACAGAAAATCCTCAATGTATGGGACTCTACAGTTTCATTCAGTTCAAAGCATCAGCTCTATGTTTCACGAATCCACTGACGACTGGAAGATATGTTGGTATCATGACCACGAAGCAAGAGACGCTTACCCTTTGTGAAGTGGAGATATACTCAAGAGGTATTTACATTAAGCAATAGAGTACTTTTTCCGTGTTTAATTAGCCTCATCTAAACACGAGGGGGCTACATCCACGATTTCCAACGCCTCTCGAGTCTCGAATGCGGATTGAATAAATGCAAGTATAATTCAAAGTTTTCTCTTTTCATTAGTCAAGAAAACATTCTTCTTCCGGGGAGCTTTTGCAAAGCTTATAATACATGTTCTTGAGTACATTTTGATTGTAATAAGAAGTAATGCGATACAATGTAATATACGTAATGCATAATACGATGTAGAATAGGGTAGAGTAGGGTAAAATAGGCTGGGTTAGGGTAGATGAGGTTGGGGTGTAGGGTAGGGTGGGTAGGTAAGGAAGGATATGTAAATAAAAGCAAATAAAAGAAACTGGATAGTTTGTAGGTACGAGAACAAATTAAAACATCCAAGACACTTTGCAGATAAAGAACAGGCAATTACGAATGTTTAGTTTGAATCCTGTTTCCCAGAATGCTCAAAGTTTTAATCCCAGTTCCTAACGGGCAAACGAGTGATTCGAATTGAGCAAATGCGTAGAGCAGTTTAAAACCATTATTTTCAAGATCAAGCACTACTTCATGCAGACGCTTTTGCTGAATTAAATTC